ACACAGCTCCTACTCAACTGCCTATAATCATCATGTGATTCACTTGTTACAATCCTGAAATACCATAAATACCCTTAAAGTCAACCATGGTGAAACCTGATCAAAGTCTAAGTCAATAGTACATGTTGACTCTAACTTGTCAAGTGCATCCATTAACTCTTTGAGTTCCTTTCGAGCACATACAACTGAAATCCCAAGTCAACTTACTGAGTTGCCTGAGTAACTCGTTGAGTTCCTTTAGAGTCCATACAACCGAAATCCCGAGTCACCTCACCGAGTCACCTGAGTGACTCATCGAGTTCCTTAACGTCCAAGGGACGAAAACTCGAAACTGAAATCTCTCACTGAAATCACGTTGGATCCTGAAAATGAGAAAACCCTAATCCGACTCGTCGAGTTGTCTAAGGGACTCGCCTATTCCCTTCAATGCTTTTGTGTTCAGATGTTTTTAAGCTACCCCAAAGTTCCAAATTGCAGATCTAGCATCCTAAGGTATGGTTTCCATGTAAAGTTGCAAACTTTACATGCATGTAATCTCTTAAATGCCAAACAAAACTAAGGGAGGGGTTTTAGCCAAAGATAAGGGCTAATGCTTGATAAATTCAATGACTTTATAACTCTAAGGACTTAGAGGAGTCTAGATCTGATATCATAACTTCATATCATACCCAATACATGAAATGCTCCACAAATATACTAAAAATGGCCTTAAACCCAAGAAAAGGGATCTAATACTAGAATGATTAAGGTAACAACTTGTTACATTCAAATGGAAACCCAAACAATGTAGATGCTGGGTCTACAAGCTCCTTCCCGTTCCAAGTTTCTCAACCTTCAAACCTCTTCAACATAATGCACCAAAAGCATTTTCTAAGCCTCACAAGCACAAGAAAGTAGCGAAGAACAAATAGGGTTTCTTCTTTGGGTAATGAAGTACCATGGGATACTGAAAGAGGAAGATTAAGTCTTTTATATAAGGTGCAAACCCTAAAAATTAATGTAACACCGTAATTTTTCAAACATTTTTTTTTAAAATTTAAATAGTTATCTCTTTAACGCTTTTCATAAAAATCCCATTTGTTTAATTTACAATACATAACTCTTTTGTTCAATCAATTAATAAACCAAGATCCTCAAACAAACGCTTCCCTTGGTGTGTACAATCAAGCCGATGTCTTCCCGTGAACCTGAGAAACCTGAAACACATAACACAAAACACTGTAAGCACGAAGCTTAGTGAGTTCGCCAAAATACCACTCTAACACATATTAGCCACTCAAGGCTATAACTCTGTTAAACCTCTGGTCTGTGTGTCTCAGTGGGACCCTCCAGTCCGAACTCTCTATGGACCCTCTGGTCCTAACTCTATGGACCCAAAGGTCCTAACTCTGATAACTCAGAATCATGCATATCACATATCATAATAAATCTCAGAAAATAAATAGCATACAATTACACTGGCACATAACTCTAAAACTACCTCTGTAGATCCTATGGTCCTAGCTTTGTGGACCTTCCGGTACTAACTCTGATATACACACAACATAAATCACATAGAAATAATGCAGTGCCACACATAGCATAGATAACATACAATAACTCTATTACCACTCTAGGTAAAATATAGTGAGAAGACTCACCTACTACTGCCGACTGAAGAACAAGATCACGCTGCTCCGACCACCGTCACGAACTCCACCACTGAATCACCGAAACCAATAAATACCAATAACAACCAAAATACCCCTGGAAGTCAACTGGTCAAATCTTGGTCAAAGTCAAAGTCCTCAGTCAAAACCAACCCTCCTGACAGACTCTACTCGCCGAGTCAACTCGCTGACTCGTCGAGTCCCCATGCTCTAAAACTCCCATAACATGACTCAACTCGCCGAGTCGCCCCAAGACTCGCCGAGTCCCACAACTCTGAGTCAACCCGTACTCAACTCACTAAGTCATCCCTTGACTCACCGATTCTAAGCTTAACCATAAAAGGTTAGGACCTCAAGACCAGACTCGTCGAGTCCAAGGCTATCTTCAACCAACTCGCCGAGTTGTTCTTCCAACTCGCCGAGTTTCTTCCTATCTTCATGCAACTCGCCGAATACACCCATGTGACTTGCCGAGTACCACTAGCTCTTAAGCCATACAGAGGCTTTCCAATCCATGTAGGGTCTCCAATCTATAGATCTACTCTTATACAAGCCATCCATCACGTAAAGTGGCAAACTTTACGTGAATCCAATGAGATCTAAGCATAATACACTCTTGGGCTAAGGTTTGGGGCTAAAAGAATTCATCAACAACGCTTGAACAGGGACTTTATGCTCTTTTGGATCATCACTATTCTAGATCTGAGGTAGCAACCTCAGATCTAACCTCCAAACTCAAGATAAGACTAGATATACACCCAAAAATCCAACAAATGATAGATCTAGATGGATAACAGCTCAAGCAACGAATCATTACCTCAAAAGAAGGCTCCAACAGAAGAATAAGTCAAAACCTTGAAAAGCCCCTTGCTCCAAGCCTCTTAATCTTTAATGATCACTTTAACAAACACTCCTTCAAGATCCAAATGTTCTCTAATTCTCTCACAACGAATATTAGGGTTTCTGGACATCAAGGGAGAGAAAAGAGGCTAGGAAGAGGGTATTATGTTCTTTATATAGGGCCAAATCCCTAGGATTAGGGTTTTCTCCACACAGCACCAACTCGTCGAGTTGGCCACTAGACACGCGACCAGAATCGCGAACCTACTCGCTGAGTCTACCCATGGACTCGCCGAGTTGATAATTCACATTTTCACTTTAAACCCTGAACTTTGCACCCCTGAACTCGGGATGTTACAATTAGGGTTTTCGTTTACAGCCCCTACTCATCGAGTCAGGGCCTTTTGCCTCGTCGAGTAGGATCTAAATCCCACGTCCTCATAAATAACCTCTACTCAACGAGTTGGAGCTCCCAACTCGTCGAGTCCTATCATAAAACTCTTGGAAAAATTAAATGATACTTGGGACAGGTGTTACATACTAGCTATTAACAAACACAATATAATATTATTATTTTTTTTCATGTCATACCTAAAAATACAATTTATATAACCAAAACACACAATTTTTTTTTAACTTATTAACATTATCTTTAAAGTAATAAGTGTACACAACACATTACTTGGGGTCGACGTTGCGATGGTGACATTGCTTACTCCCAAAATTCACCACATGACGTCACCTCTTATAGGAGATATCCTTTGTATCTTCCATCCTCTATTTTCCTCTTCAATGACTATTTTCAATTTTTTTTCCGAACTTAGTAAATAAGCAACATAAATCATCCGACCACACATTCACTTAATATTCTCTACTTTATTTCAATTATATTTTCTAAAACGAATTTATACAATTCTCCTAAGAACCACTTCAATATCCACTAGAAAGCAGAAACCAGTCGATGATAACTACTTCAAATAGACCTCGTAGAATCATTGTTGGTTTCGATTCTACAACATCATTTTACCGACCACAGTGTTACGTACGTCTCTATCTACTCACCCAACCAATTTTAATTTGATATTTGCCATCGTTTTATCCATCACAAAACCTAACTGCAACCCTATTACCCAAATTAGTCCTTTTTCCGAATTGTAATCAAATACCCAATCGAGCTGAAACCTATAACCAAAGCATCCTAACTGGAAAAGTAAATTCTTAAGTCTATTTTAGTGTTGTGTCAAATGTATGTTTTTGGATTTTTGTTTAATTTTGATTCCGGAATGGGGCTTGTCCATTTTTAGAATTTTTGTATAGTTTAGTCTAGATATATAGCGCTTACATGTAACATCTAGGGTTACGTTTTTTTACAATCACTAAGAGAATAATTCCGCCTTTACAAACTATTATCTTGCTGAAGTTAATAGAATTCAGTTCCTTTCAATCATCATCGTTCCATATCATTGATTTGTCTTGTAATATAGAATCTTTCGATCTGTAATTGTTTTATTAAAAATGCAACCAACTGATTCAAATGTGGACAAATAAGGATGAAATCGTGTTGGCCAAATTATGGATCGACCTATTAGAGGATGTGATGACTAATAATTCATAAAAATCTCAAATTTTTTTGAGACGAGTGACAAATCAATTTCATCTGGAAAATGGGTCATTGCTAGTACCATATAAAAGAACAAGTTAAAACATATTATGTTGTACAATAACCTAAAAAAGCAATGCAAAAGCAGTCAAAGCAACAAAAACATTTTTGCGGCAACTCTAGTAATACATCAGATGAAAAAAGGGAAGACGTTTAAATATTGACTTTCGGAAGCTTATAATAATTGGCCCCAAAATGGATTGAAGTGCATGCCATGAAGGATGAAACCGGTGGCTAAAAAGAAAAAAAAAATATATTCGATTAAAATTACACAACTTCGTCGGATGTTCCTGTTGGCGTTTGAATTTTGACGTGCATGGAGTTTAAAAAAGGAAAAAAAATGGCTAAACAGAAAAAATAACACATAAGGAGATGACGACTCATATATATGAAATTATTGATACAAAACATCAACCTTCTTTCAGCGAAGAACGTGATATGACTTTAAAGGTCAATATATAATTTAGTTTGAATTAATGAAAAAGTGTAAGTCCCAAAAAAGATTGTTAACTTTAAATTTATTTATCTTTCTTGTATATTTTTTAGAAAACAAGAAAAAACAGGTAGATAGAAGGTGACTATTTCTAGATGATAAAGTGAAAATAACATGATCCTAAGTTGGTAGATTAAAAATATGGAAAATGTGGTGAGTTAGCACTTTATTCAATACACGATATCGTACATGAGACCTACATACTGTCATGTGTAGCGACCAAACTATAAATGAAAACCGTGTGGAAGTAAATTTATGAATGGCATTTACGAAAATTTAAGCAACTTGAAGGGCAAAGTTAAACTAATTAGACTATATATACACACAATGCCACCCTCCTCCTTCCACCACCACAAACATGTCTGTAGTCACCGACGAAATAAGAGCCACCGCTACCGAGCTCTACCATGGCGACAAAGTCTGCCAAGATAAAACAAAGCTTCTACTAACCGAAGTCGGACTACCCAACGGCCTTCTTCCATTGGAAGACATTGAAGAATGTGGGTACGTTAAAGACACAGGCTTCGTATGGCTGAAACAGAAAAAGAAAAAAGAGCACAAATTCGAAAAAGTCAACCGGCTGGCGAGCTACGCCAATGAGGTCACGGCGTTCGTCGAGAAATCAAAGATCAAGAAGCTCACCGGAGTGAAGACTAAAGAGTTGATGATGTGGGTTAATCTGAGTGAGATCTATGTTGATGATCCACCCACCGGAAAAATCACGTTCAAAGCTCCGTCAGGTTTGTACAGGACTTTTCCGGTGTCGGCATTTCAAATCGAGGAGGACCAGAAACTTGAAGTGAAGGAGGTGTAGTGGGGCTGATGAGTCAATGTCTCATTTTTACCTTCATCTTTGATTGATATAGCGTGATCTACTCATCTACTCATCTTTATGTCGATGTTATCTTAACGTTTACTTAATATTTGGGGCATTTGTTATCGAATTTTCAAGGAATAAAAATAATCGTTTTCAACGATATTAAAAATATTAGGGTAAAGCTTCAGAAACGGTGACAACGATATTAAGAATATTAGGGCAAAACTTGAAGCTTATGGACAAAAAATTGCCATATGGCTTAGGATCACATATATTGATCATTTTACTCATAAATAACATGTTTCGTTTTAACCAGGATTTGAAATCTCTTGATTATTGACCGAATTAAGAAAACTATTTTTAAACTAAACAATTTGGTATCTTAGGGTTAACTACTTAACTACATACAATAACGTCATAGCTTAGGTATAATTTAGTCTGGGTTAATATTGTCAACTAATAATAATCTATGTTATTTATTTTTTAATTATGGTCAATGTATCATTGGAATTATTTTTTTGTTCTCATTTGTCATTACACCATTTGGGACAAAATTTAGTGGGTGCTCCTATTCCCACAAATAAATTCGTGTTAATGATTACAATCAATCCCATCCATTTGTTATTTTGGCGATTTCAAATTGTTTTCATATTTTTTATATTACCTCCTTTAACTTAGATGCATGTTACAAAATAAATTCTTATATATTTTATTCACTTAAATTTCAATAACTTATATATATATATATATATATATATATATATATATATATATATATATATATATATATATATATATATATATATATATATATATATATATATATATATATATATATATAGTTAGGTTCATGTGAGACGGTCTAATTTTGTGAGACCGTGAGATGCATTTTTTTTTTTTTTTTTTTTTTAAATTTTTTTAAAATTTTTTTAGTTAATTCAAGTTCCGAAAATAATATTTAAAAAAAGAATTTTTTGATTTTTTAATTTATTTTGCATTTTAAAATTATATTTAGAATATGTACAGTATAATATTCTATTTAGAATATTTTACGTATTTTTCAAAAAAAAAAATAGAACTTTTTTATTTTTATTTTTTTTAGTTAATTCAAGTTCTGAAAATAATATGTAAAAAAAGAATTTTTAGATTTTTTCATTTATTTTGCATTTTAAAATTATTTTTTAGAATATGTCAGTGTAATATTCTATTTAGAATATTTCACGTATTTTTCAAAAAAAAAAAAAAAAAAAAGGGATTTTTTTTATTATTTTTTATTTTTTTATTTAATTTTTTTAGATAATTCAAGTTCCGAAAATAATATTTAAAAAAGAATTTTTGGATTTTTCCATTTATTTTGCATTTTAAAATTATTTTTAGATTTGGTTTCGCGGTCTCACAAAATTAGAATGATCTCAAATGAACCTGAACCTATATATATATATATATATATATATATATATATATATATATATATATATATATATATATATATATATATATATATATATATATATATATATATATAGGGGTAGGTTATGACGTTTCTTTTGATTTTGGAGTTTTGGTCAATATAAGTAATAGAGACCATGGAGGGGTAAAATGGTCTTTTACCCACTTCCCGATTAGAGTGGGAAAGAGTGATCGACGGTTTAATTAGAGTTGAGATTTCGAGTGTTAGTTAGAGATATTTGCCCTATGTGTTAGGCGGTGGCGAGTTCGGGATTCAAGTGTGAAGATAACTGCTTTCTACTTGCCAGGTGAGTCTTCTGACTACACTTTACCTAGAGTGGTAATTAGAGTTATGTGACAGAGTATTTTATATGCTATTTATGTGATGTGATGCACTGCATTATTTCTATGTGATTTATGTTGTGTGTGTGTTCTAGAGTATACAGAGTTACGACCGATAGGTCCATAGAGTTAGGACCAAAGGGTCCACAGAGTTAGGACCAGAGGGTCTATAGAGTTATAGCCTCGAGTGGCTAATATGTGTTTTATGTGATATTTTGGGGAACTCACTAAGCTTCGTACTTACCGTGTTGTGTGTTATGTGTTTCAGGTTTTTTTCAGTATCACGGGACGACACCGGCTTGATTGTACACACCAGAGGAAGAGTTATGTTTTTGAGGATCCTGAATTATTATTTAATTGAATATAGAGTTATGTTTTGTAATTTAAACAAAACGAGATTTTTACAAAAAGTGTTTTAAGAATTAAGCGATTTTAAATCAACATTTTAGTTTTGAAAAATTATGGTGTTACAGAAACTAATTAAATTCATCATTAATATCAACAATAACATTCTTTTAAAATTCATCATTAATATCAACAATAACATTCTTTCAAAATGAATTCGCATCTAGATTTTTATGTATGAGTTCGTTTTTTTATTTCAAGATTCACTCACTTAAAATACAATAAAGTCGCATGAAATACGAAGAACGAAAGTGTATTCTACTAGAATACACTCTCATTCTTGTAGATACAAATTCATTCTGAAATAATATTATTGTTGACATTAACAAAGAGTTTAATTAATTTCCATAAAAAGGGATTATAAGTATGGATATTATTTAATATACATATAGTTTTTACTAAAATCTTATTGGTGCATTCTAGAGAAACATTTGAACCTCTCCCCCCCCCCCTCTCTCTCTCTCTCACTCTATATATATATATATATATATATATATATATATATATATATATATATATATATATATATATATATATATATATATATATATATATATATATATATATATATCGAGACCAAATGAGAACAATTTTTATTTTGAGAACAAATAAGAACAATTCTCAACCACTTATTTTAAAAACTTTGAATTTTTTTTATTAATTAGATAAATAAAAAAGCTCCAATGCCATCTACTCCATTCCATCCCCTTAACGTCAAAATTAGATGTCCATTTCTCATTTCACAATGAATGTTGGACAACTAGTAACCACCAGACCACTAAAGTCACCGAAACGGTGTCGAAATCAACATTGTTGCCTCTCCACTTTCCCTAAATTTGGTTGTTCACTTTATGTATTCTTATTTTCATATATGTTTTTCTATATTCATTTATGATTAATAATATTTCTTTTATAACTGTTTAACATATTATCAGAAGTAACAACAAACAATTAAAGATTTTTTTTTATGTTTGTCGGTGTATACTCATCATGTGCAGCTGTATTTCTATAAAATATGCATTTTTTTTCAAAACTTGTTAGACACAAAAATATTTTTGGAATATTGAAAAAAAATATATGCACACAAAATGTTGAAATAAAAACACAATTAACGAACTTTACATACAATCTATTTTAATTTGTTAAGTTGCTTAGTTATAACTTTTTTTTTTCAATAATAATGTTATCTATTTGTTGAAAGATACAATATATATTAATTACTAAAAGTTATAAGTTAAATTAAATTAAAATGTTCAAATAAAAAAAAATTTAAAAAACCAAAATAAATATATATAACGTACATTTAAAAGGGTATAAATACAAATGTGCTAGGTTGGAATAAAACGTTTACTCCACATTCATTTAATAATAAAAACAGTAAAAATTAAAAGAAAAAAAAAAGTAATTGTTATAAGATAAATAATAAAATACATCACTTCATTCGTGTAAATGGAAATTTGTTCGTGTGCTTAGAATAACCCAATTTAGTTGGGTAAATTTGATATTAAATTTAGAGCAAATTACACGAATGGTCCCTATGGTTTAGGTAATTTGTATGTTTGATCCCTAACTAATTTTTTTAACTCGGAAGGTCCCTATAGTTTGTTTTTGTTACACGTTTGGTCCCTGTCTTACCTAAAAAGATTATTTTGCCATTGATTTTTTAATTTATTTAAATAAACACACCCCGAACTCTATTCCCCTCACCTTACCTTACCTATCTTACCATTTTTTCCTATATAAATAATAGTCTTTTTTTGGTAAGATAGGGATCAAATGCGTAACAAAAACAAATAGTAGGGACCAAATGCGTAACAAAAACAAAAATTAAGGACTTTTCGAGTTAAAAAATTAGTTAGGGACCAAACGCGTAAATTACCCCAAACATAGGGATCATTCATGTAATTTACTCTTAAATTTATTTCACCGAGGCAATCAATATGACATTTTTGTTAATTCAGATTGATATGGCGTCACATTGCTTCGATTATGAAATCCAATATGATTGAATTATCCGATTGAAATACAGACCAATGATAAATTGAGAACATAGAATAAATTCAAGTAAATTTGATTTCACAGTAGTTACTATTGCCATGTCTTAACACTTGTCAATATAAATTTGATCAAAAAATGGAGGAGAAAACAAGAGTATATTATTATCTTCTACATAAACAAAAAATTTATGCATTTTATAATAAACTAATTTGAACAATTTCGATTGAAAATTTTGTCAAATGTTATTGTTTAATGTTTTAATATAGGTTTGCAAAAAATGGACAACTTTATTATAAATATGAAGTTCAAGGATCCGATTAGAAGCAATAGATAATAACGTTATTTGTTATAATTTTCATTTTTACAAAATGAACTTTAGTTGGTTTGAATAAGAAAAATCATAAAATTATGGATAATTTAAACAAAAAGTACAAATAACAAAATGATTTTGACATATTTGGTTACGTTAAGATCACTTGAAAAGACTTATTCTTATAAAATATGTTGTTATTGCGATATACTAATGCAAGTACATTCTCATATGATATTATACAAAATCTCTATGATTTGAAAAATAGATCATGGACACTATAAAAAAGGCTATATAATTATCCTTATTTTTTTTAACCGGCAAACAATAATATTATATTTAAAAATGAAAATTCACTCCTAGCAAGTTACTAGGAGTGGAAAATACATAACGGTAACCAAAACAATTACAAAAAAGAACCATTACAGCAAATTGAAGGGAAGGACGTTCTATTCCGTCCAATTTAAACCACTATTAACGCCTCTGTACTCAA